CACTTGCTAATGTGTGTGTGTGTGTGTGTGTGTGTTATGCGTAGCCGCTGTATGGATTCAGAGAAGGACCCGTAGTCATGCTTTATAAAGAAAACCTCTCTGGCACTTGTTGCGGAATGAAGGCATGTCGATTTTTTAAATAGCCTATTCATTAAAATGTGCATATTCAGAATAGGATTGAAAATTACTTACAAATTGTTAAAGTATATTATCAAAATGTGTGAAACATGTATACATGGAATATTCTGCCTTGTTATTGTTACTGCGAATGCCATACAGATAGAGGGAAATAGACCTTGCCATCTTATAGAGCAGAAGACAGCTATAGCTACTACAGGTACAGCTACTGCGGCCTCATATTCACTGCAGAACTTAATTATCCATTGTTTATCACCACTCAGGGGCTGTTCACACCACTGTTCTTAACCCAATGGTGCCGGGTGTACAAAACAAAAAAAAAACAAAAAAAAAAAATCTAGGCTTAAGCAAACAAAGGCGGCACGCCGACTTTGAGTGCGTGAGTAGGGCACATCAGCCCGAATCACTGGCTTGCCGCGCTTTGGCGAGCCACTGGCTGGTTTGGCTGCACGCCAGCTTTCGAGCGTTGTTTGCACGCCAATCGGCGTGACCCAGCACCAAGGGGTTAATGTTGCATTTTCCGTAATTTGGCACTAAATACTATTAAAAAGGGGGGGGGGGTTAGAGGGGTAACAAATACCACAGGTATTGACAAGTGCAAAATAATCGTTTTCATATGTGTGTATTACTGGATGTACTAAGTGACATATGTTGCTGTTTTGAGTTGTATGGTTAACAGTGATTTAGTAAATATTGTTCATAACAAAGTTTAAATACGTATTAAAAGCACACTACAAGTTTCCTCAATTTATTCATTTTTATGGTTTTCATTACACCATATAGAATGGAAATAATTTTCTTTAAAATGTATGTTCTTCAAACAAAAAAGTATATAAATTTACTTTTGCACAAACTGATAGCTCACAATATCAAGTTTAAGCCTGTGGCAGATAAGGTTTTTATAGTGAAATTGATAAGGGATTAGTTGTCAATCTCATTATCAATTAAATTACAATATTACCAAGATTCATGTGGTGATAACTGGTTTGGTCATTGTATATGATTTGACCAGAGACTGACCATTACTCGAGCCTTGGGGCACTCTTGGCCATCTACAGGCATTGCCTTATGAACCAAAAATAATTGTGCAAATATTCTTGCTGTATATTTAGAAATAGGTATATATATGTAGTCTTGGAAAAAATTTAATTTGTGTGGTTAACTTTGTAGCAGTTAACCAATAGGGCACTATACCTGCTAGATGGAACAAGTTGAATTATGAATCTAGGTGTAGACCACACTAGGGTTCATATGGCACAGTTTCACTTCAATGACAAAGCAAATTTAACTCCATTTGTCTTATGAGTATTATGTATCTAGTGCAGTTGGAATGCTAATAAATAGTCTTGTATTTTGACAGGATGCATTTTGTGTAAGGCCAAGGGGTCAAATCCCCAAAGTGTAAGAAATAACTTTGTCTCGGAGAAAAATAGGAGCATTGCTGACATTAGTCATTGAGTGGTATGTCATAGTCTGTGTACCATCATGGAAGTATTTGTTTGCAAATTTGAAGCATATTTCACTTGAGCTCTTTTCGCCGGTTGAAGAAAATTTTAAACTCTATGCGCTGGAGATTAATGGCAACTAGCCAACTTTGAGTATGGGAGTTTGCTCCATCAAGCTGAATGCCCTGCTCGAAGCCGCGGTGTGCGGCCGCACTCTATAGATAGTGGTTTATGACGCCACAGGGCGTGTGACCAGCAGAATTGGGTGAATCACTTTTACATTAAGTAATGAATATATAGAATATGAGGCTGAACTTAGTAAATTGGGAACTTCAATAAAATGCATCAATTTTTGTTGAAAATATTTTGTTTATAGTATTCAAGTGAGTGCCATCAATATGAAGAGATAGGTGCATGAAAATGTATTAGGATCTGTTTGTAAATTTAGATTTGTAGAGAGGTTGTGAAATACATTTCTAACAAAAATGAGAAGGTATTGTATTGTATTGTACATCCTGAATGTTTGTGTTAATGTATAAATCATAGGAAACCATAAGTTATCCAATCGCCCTAAATGGTGTGATATAGATGTCCACTGTAATTTTAGTTAATTGATTACACAGATTGCTTCTCAGGTACTTAGACACAAAGTTGTCCATTATTACTCCTACCTTCCTCACTGGTTTACTTATGGTTTACCATTTTCCTTGATTGATTATCTGAAAGATATTTATTATTTTAATACCCTTATGATAAATCTAATGTTGACTATGAGTAACAATATCAATAGCATAAAAAAAAGTGCCAATTCAAGGAATTGGGAAATCAGGCAGTTGCTAGGGCAACAAAATTCACACAAAAAAAGACTACATAAACCAAGGACTGATTAGTTGAAACTAGAATCCCTCTACAATAGTTTCTTTGTGTATATACTTGTTTGTTTCTTGATTGACGTGCATTCCATTACCCTTAGACATGATATCACTTATATTTCTGTTGTATTCAGAAGTTCGTTCTTTATAACCAGTTCACAGTGCATTCGAAACTTTTTCTTTGTGGTGGTGTCTTTCATTAAGCGCACTTGGGTGACGTCTAATCCTGTCATACTGAACCAGGCCTAAATGCCAGGTCACAAGTGCCTGTGTCATGAGTGTTGAGCCTGTTGTAACTTTACCATGGTAGTTTTTCACTAATTTGTACCTGACTGGCCATTGAGATGTATCTGCTTTTTTTTTTTTTTTTTTTTTTTTTTTTTTAGTCCTAGATAAGGGTAGGTTTCCCATGCATATAATTTTCCACTCGAACAGCTGAATGTGGATGAAGCTTTGCTTGTGACTTAATTTAGCACAGGAAAATGGTTATGTATCTGTACATTAAAAATACAAAATGTAGGTCCTTTGGCATCCACAATTTCTGCACAAATTTTGCTAGTCTAGGGTGTTGCACATAGACAACTCTTGTGCAATAAATAGTTGCAGAACTGACAACTTGTGTAATAGAAGGCTATTATATCCAACATGTTTCATTATAAGAACTTGTTTTGGTTTCCAGATCCACCATGGCTCCCAAGAGAAATAACATTATTCCAAATGGTCACTTCCACAAGGACTGGCAGCGCTATGTCCGCACGTGGTTCACCCAGCCTGCCCGCAAGCACAGGCGCCGTGTCAAGAGGCAGGAGAAAGCCCGCCGTATTGCACCAAGACCTCTTGGCAAGCTGAAGCCCATTGTCCGATGCCCCACTTCCAAGTAAGACCTTTTAATATTTTTTCCATTTTGAGCATCATTTTAATGTTGGCAACTAGAACTGGTCAACTTAATTATATTATGTACCTTTTTACTATGTATTTGAACTAGATCTTCTATTACAGATACAACATTAAGCAGCGTCTTGGCAAGGGATTCACTCTTGAAGAAATTAAGGTGAGATCTGGTCAACATTTTTTACATGTTCTCTTATTGCTCAGCATATTTCTTAATACAATGTTGATAGTTTTTTAACTTAGATACCCCCCTCCCCCCCTAAAGTTGTTGAATCCTGTAACTCTTTTGGTACCAGGTTTTGTTCAGTCTATTTTGAGTTCATTGTACTAATTTTGTATAGACAGCATCACAAACAGTTGGTTACCAAGGAACTAGTTGTAAAGCCAGCAACCTGATTTTGCTTGTCAACCACATTTCATGACTCTTTTTAAGGGAACAAATTTTGTTCATTACTTTTTTCATTAGTAATATTGTGTAAACAAAGTAAGTAAAACAAAACCATAGTGGACAATGTGTCTGTACGCACTCATAGAAGTAACAAATTATAGAAGGCCTATACTTGTATGTATTTAATTATGTTGCAAATTTCTCTAGGCTGCTGGCCTGTGCAAGCGTTATGCCCAGACCATCGGCATTGCGGTTGACCATCGCCGTGTGAACAAGTCTGTTGGAGCTCTGCAGAGGAATGTACAGAGGCTCAAGGAGTACAAGAGCAAGTTGATCCTCTTCCCACGCAAGACCACGAAGCCCAAGAAGACTGATGCTTCAGTAAGTTGTGAAAACTGTTCTTACTTTTGTTTTAGCTCCTCTCCATATATTAATTACGTATAATTAACTACTTAGATTTCATTCTCTGGTCTCCTAATACCTATCTTTTTATTTTCCAGCCTGAGGAGATGGCAATGGCACAGCAACTTAAGGGAGTGGTAATGCCCTACGTTGAATCCCAGAAGGGTGAGAAGGCCATGAAGGTTACCACGAAAGCCAAGAGGTTTGCTGCCTATGGCGCTCTGCGAAGGGTAGGTACTGAGAATTTTTATATGAGGACCTTTAGAACCAATGGAAATGTAATCTCTTGCAAATTTTTAAATATCCAGTTGGTTATTTGTTCGTGTTTTCCCACAGGAACGTACCATGGCACGCAACTGGGGTATCCGTGCCAAGAAGGCAAAGGAAGCCGCAGAGGATGCTGCTGTTATTGGCAAGAAGTAAAATGTACCATTTTAGTAAACCAAGGAAAAAATACATATTTTTATTATCCTTATCATACTAAGCAAATAGGGATTAAATTGGTTGCATGGCTTTATATCCCTACATTTTCAACTCCAGGTACTCATTTATAACTTTTCCTATAACCCAAAGGTTTGCAAAATACCTGACTTGAGCAGGTTTAATTAAATGAAGGAATATTTTCATACTTTGTCGTTACCAGTTCATGTACCGAGTAGCCATGTTGTGAATAATACATTTCACAGAAGGGCCTCTTGAAATATAAGACTTAGCTTTTGTATCCCCAGGCTGCAAACAAATCTTTTTTTTTTTTTCTTTTTTTTTCAGTTAAAATTAAAGGGAAATGATTGAATTTTAAAATTTGTTAAATTTCAGAGACAAAAATCATGTTTGAAAATATCAAATTATTCAAGACTAGAAAAATGTAACATGAAAAAAATATTTTTATTGTATAGTTCTACTTTGGTTAGTTCCACTAGGTAGGAAAACATCAACTTGGAATGATGACACAGTCAAGATAAAGGTAAGTCATTAAGTGAGATTGGTTTTGCAAATGGAAAATGATGACTGACAAAGTGTGACAACCCACAACATATTAGTGTTTTACCTATCTTTCCAGGATTTCTGTTGTGGAGTCATAGCTTACGAAGAATGTAGTGGATTATATAAAGATAGAAGAAAAAGGATAGCCATATATTTTTCAGCAAAACTGGTAAAGAATCTTGTATTTTTCAGGTCCATTTACTTGTAGTAGTAGTAGTAGTAGTAGTTTGTTTAGGAACAATGCTGTTTTCCTTTTTTTTTACATGGTATGTATAATTGTAAATGAATCTAGAGCATGGGCAACTATTTTACTTTGTATGGGACTTTGTTGTAAGCAAAGTACTTGTAAACAAATCGGAACTACTGGAAATGTCAAGGTGGACCTACACTTCAGAAAACTACTTTTGCTCAGCTGTCATCAGTAATGAGCAAGAGGAAAGTTTTTTTATTACCCAAAACTACTAACCATAACTTTTAGCAATGCATCCGCGGCATACAACCGCAAGCCACAGATCGAGCGGTTGGTTTTAACCCCTTAATGCCAGGTGACGCCGATCGGCGTGCAAACAAACCGCTCAAAAGCTGGCGTGCAGCTGTACGCCGCGGCGGAGCGCCATAGCACGGCGAGCCAGTGATTCGGGGTGATGTCCCCTACTTGCGCGCTCAAAGTCAGAGCGCCGCCTTTGTTTGCTAGAACCTTTTTTTCTTCTTTTTTTTTGTACACCCGGTGCCATTGGGTTAATGCCTCACAGCGTGAACCGTCGTTCAGTATTATCTGTCCGTATCAATGTGCTGTGTGGTGCATAAGGAGGATTCTTTTCTATCAATATGGCTGGCTTGCGTTCAAACACCACACTGCCATTTCTTACACACGGGGTAATTTAGAAGCAAATATCACATGAGGAATAATCATTGGAATAAACCAACTTATAATTTATTAATTCTTGCCTGGAGAATTATTAAATTGCTCTTGATTCTAATTGGCATTCATTTTGAATTAAAGACCTGCCTACCTTCAACCTTCAAAGGGGTAATTAGTTTATAATTTGTATTCCTTCAAAGTCCTTACCAAATGTTCTTGAATGTCAGTCTAAAGTAAATGGGATCTAGTATACTTACAAGGTCCTGTGCAGGATGAAAATTGGAACCTCAGAAACCACCCACTACTAAATTAAGCTAACCCAATACAGGATTTTTTTTTTTTTTTTTTTTTTTTTTTTTATATTCTTATTCTTATTCTTATTGTGAAAGTACTATTTTGGCAAACTAACTTTGAATTTTCAACTTTTACAGATAACCCATATGAATAGGAGAGCATAGTGAACAGGAAAATCAAAATATTGGCATAAGGTCAGTATTATTTGTATTTTTTATATACACAAATGGCTCTAGAAGTGCTCAAGTCACCAGGTCAATAATAACTTCAATGATTTTGCCCGAGAACATTTTTTTTTTTTGTGGTCTTGTATTTTTATTAGTTTTTATATTCACACACAATCCCAAACATTCAAGGAATGGGATGAGCAGATGAGTGTAGGTAGTATTTAACACCTTGGTGACAAAGTGCTTGTAAAACCATGTGTATTATGTACATTTTCTGAGTATGTATATTAATGTGATGATAGCTATACCGCCCCAGTCTGAAAGTCTGATGATGGTTATCCCTGAAAGAAAAACTTGACAAAAATGTAAATGTAAAATATTACACCACATTTAGTTTATATTTTTACAGATGAAATTTACAATTGTGATAATGAAACCAGGGAGGAGGTTTAAAGGTTAGTGTCTTTTTATTATTGAATGGGCTAAGCCTACATGGTCTTGCATGTTTACCTCTTTCCTTGAGTTTTTGGGCAAGATAATTACTGTTGATATTATACAAATTGAAAAAGAATGTTAGTGTTTATGATTATAGTATTAACAAATTTAAAGAATGGGATAAGCAGGTGAGACTGGATTGTATCTGTTGCCTTGGTGACAGTGTTATTAAGCCATTTAGGCCCCAAACCCAATTGTTTATATGCACTTTTGGATTAGTAGGCTAGTACATGATGATATATATACCGCCCCAGTCTGAAAGTCTGTTGATGGTATTCTCACTGAAAGAAAATCTTGCTAAAAATGTAATCCAACAATTTATCCCTTTATTAATTTATTTTTTATTTATTTTTTATAGATAAAACCTACAGTGTAATGTGTTGCAAGAACAGAGGACTTGACCAGGTTAGTATCATTTGCTTTAAATGGTAGGTTATAAAATCTCTTGATAGAAATATCAAACAATTTCTATTATGGAGGATACAGTAGACCATTCCCATGGTTATTTTTATTTGTGTGGTGAATTATAATATTGCAATGACAAGTTCTGAAGCTTACTCTTTTGCTCAAAGTATTATTTTTAGCAAGAAGCAAAGATTAATTAGTATTTTATTTATACAGGTATACGGATAAGAATACAAGGAGAGCATGCTGATCATGGAAATTGGTAGATTTGCACAAGGTGAGTTTTATTTACTTTTTCTTTACATACTCTTAGATGATGGTATTAGAAATCTCTATGCATCACTGACTCCGGCAATTTCTGACAATCATCCTACTGTTTGGAACGAGTCCGCTACGTGTAAAGTTACTTCTCGCTCGACTTGCTAGACCTTGTAGCTGTACCCGGCAGATCAAGCAGTTTATGATAGCTATACAAATGGCCTGGCAGTAATGGGTTACTCTCTCCTCTCCAGCAACTGTAGATAGGGCCAAATGAGTTTATTACTTTAGTGTGCAGGCATGACCACACCAAACATAAAGGCATCCTGGTATGTTTAAGTTATGCTTAATCTTGATCTTGCTTGTTTACAGTATTCATTGCTTTCCATCAAGATTGTTTATTTGTCAGTAAAACTGGTTTTCAAAAAAAAAAATAATAATAATAAAAAAAGAATAAATAAAAAATAAGTAAATAAAGGAATAGTAATTGTGCAAGAACAGTTTGTCACAGTTATGAACAATTAGTGAATTCAAATATATACAGGCACCTTTGGTGTCCATGGGTTAGTATGTGATGATTGATATACCGCCCCAGTCTGAAAGCTCTCTCTCCTCTCCAGCAACTGTAGATAGGGCCAAATGAGTTTATTACTTTAGTGTGCAGGCATGACCACACCAAACATAAAGGCATCCTGGTATGTTTAAGTTATGCTTAATCTTGATCTTGCTTGTTTACAGTATTCATTGCTTTCCATCAAGATTGTTTATTTGTCAGTAAAACTGGTTTTCAAAAAAAAAAATAATAATAATAAAAAAAGAATAAATAAAAAATAAGTAAATAAAGGAATAGTAATTGTGCAAGAACAGTTTGTCACAGTTATGAACAATTAGTGAATTCAAATATATACAGGCACCTTTGGTGTCCATGGGTTAGTATGTGATGATTGATATACCGCCCCAGTCTGAAAGTCTGATGATGGTATTCTCTGAATTAAAATGATTCCCTGAAAAGTGGATCTAAAAAGATATAAAATAAGCAAGAATCGAGCATATTTACTAATACATTTTTCATTCTCTAACAGGTCAACCTATGAGAGTTAACCCTTAGATGATGATATTAGAAATTTCTATGCATCACTGACTCCGGCGATTTCTGACAACCGTCCTACCGTTTGGACGAGTCAGCTACGTGTAACATAACTTCACTCGACTTGCTAGTTCTTTTAGCTGTATCTGACAGATCAAGCAGTTTATGATGGCTATACAAGTGGCCCGGCAGTAATGGGTTAATGGAGTGCATACTGAACATGAAATTCAGGTCTGCAGGTCAGTATTACTTATTGTTATTGTTTTCTTTTAGATTGTTGCAAGTCACCAACGCATCAGTTACTAGGCTTACGTAATCACCTTTTTAATATCTCTCTCTCTCTCTCTCTCTCTCTCTCTCTCTCTCTCTCTCTCTCTCTCTCTCTCTATTTTCTCTCCCTCCTTGTGTGTATGGGGGTGTAAATGAGTAGACAATTTGAACAATGGCACGAGTGATTATTATGTGATGATTTGTATACCGCCCCAGTCTGAAAGTCTGATGATGGTATTCTCTGAATTAAGATAATTTCATAGAAAGTGGATCTAAAAAGATGAGCAAGAATTGAGCATATTTAGTAATACAATTTTCATTCTTTTACAGCTCAACCCATGAGAGGGAAAGGAGAATTATTGAGCTTGAAAATCAGGTCTACAGGTCAGTATCACTTTGTGTTTAGGCTTATTTGATCACCTTTTAATATCACTAACAATTAGATCTGTTATTTTTATGAATCAAGGAATGGGATAAACCAGAGATCATAGTGGCAGTTACATTGACCCCCCCCCCCCCCCCTTGCTCGCGCTCTCATTCTTTCTAATTCTCATTCTCATTCTCTCTCCCTCCTTGTGTGTATAGGGGTGTAAATGAGTAGAAAATTAATTTGAGAAGCATTGTGGACACTACAATGGCACGAGTAATTATGTGATGATTGTATACCGCCCCAGTCTGAAAGTCTGATGATGGTATTCTCTGAATTAAGATAATTTCCTAAGTGGATCCTAAAAGAGAAGCAAGAATTGAACATATTTAATAATACAATTTTTATTCTTTTACAGCTCAACCCATGAGAGGGAAAGGAGATTATTAAGCATAAGAATCGGATCTACAGGTCAGTTTCACTTAGTGGCGTTTAATATCCCTTACAATTAGTTCTGTTATTCTTATTTTTATTATCTCTCTCTCTCTCGCTCTCTCTCACCCTGTGGTGTAGTGGGGTTTACATGAGTAGAAAATTAATTTGAGAACTACAATGGTACGAGTGATTATTATGTGATGATTTGTATACCGCCCCAGTCTGAAAGTCTGATGATGGTATTCTCTGAATTAAGATAATTTCATAGAAAGTGGATCTAAAAAGATGAGGAAGAATTGAGCAAATTAGTAATACAATTTTTATTCTTTTACAGCTCAACCTATGGGAGTTAACCCAATGGTGACAAGTGAAGGGGAAAAAAAAGAAAAAAAAAACTACGCTCTGGCAAACAATGGCGGCTTTGAGCGCGTGAGTTCGGTACATCAGCCCGAATCACTGGCTCGCCGCAGTGTACAGCAACACGCCACGTTTCGAGTGGTTTGTTTTCACACCTAGCAGCGTCGCCCATTGTGAAGGGGTTAAAGGAGAGCATGCTGAACGTGAAAATCAGGTCTGCAGGTCAGTTTCGCTTAGGGACTTAATTGTGATCACCTTTTAGTTTTACTTACAATTGATAATGGCAATAGTTTTGTTTTAGTTCCATTTCTGCCCACAAAAATATTTGACAAATAATGGTCTTGTTCTGGCCCCCCAAAGTCCTCAAATAGCATGCCTAGGAAATGGGTCTTGCATTCGGATAAAGCTTTTGGAGCATTGGTGTGAGGGCAACAATAATTGACTTGCATAAGTTAGTATCATTTGCTTTGGTTGGTTGTATCCTTTCTTTCTTTCTTTCTTTCTTTCTTTCTTTCTTAACAAACTGCATTGAGGGATATTTAAAGATTGTATCTTTTAGTACTCATGTGGCAGAGGGTAGTATCTCCATTCCCATTGCTCCTCATTTTATTATATAGTGAATAAATATATTGTATTGTCCCAGTCAAGAATGTGAAGAATTTTTCAAAATAGTACTTAGCCAGAAGGGAGATGTCTGAGAATTGAGCATATTATTTTTTCATTTTTTACTCCTACTGTCCATTGGCATCAATGTTTATCATGTTTTGATAACTTTGGCCATGTCTGATCTAAAAGTTTCATAATGTATCATTATCACTAGCTAGCATGCATGACAGGCTGATTTATTGAATATTTTTAGGCAGAAGTATGAAGTAGACTTAAGCACATGGCAGTAAACCTGTGCACTGGACAGTAAATTTGTGCATTTGGCACAGTTGAAAATCCAGAAGCACTAAATTCATAAGGTCTCACTTATTTAACTTTTTCATTAATTGTCCATCAAGATTTTTACATGTCAATAAAACTCATCAGTGATTATTATGTGATGATTTATATACCGCCCCAGTCTGACAGTCTGATGATGGTATTCTCTGAATTCAAATTATTGCCTGAAAAGTGTATCTAAAAATATGAGGAAGAATTGAGCAAATTAGTAATACAATTTTTATTCTTTTACAGCTCAACCTATGGGAGTTAACCCAATGGTGATGGGTGAAGAAGAAGAAAAAAAAAACTACGCTCTGGCAAACAATGGCAGCTTTGAGCGCGTGAGTTCGGTACATCAGCCCGAATCACTGGCTTGCCGCAGTGTACAGCAACACGCCACGTTTCGAGCGGTTTGTTTTCACACCTAGCAGTGTCGCCCATTGTGAAGGGATTAAAGGAGAGCATGCTGAACATGAAAATCAGGTCTGCAGGTCAGTTTCGCTTAGTGACTTAATTGTGATCACCTTTTAGTTTTACTTGCAGTTGATAATGGCAATAGTTTTGTTTTAGTTCTGTTTCTGCCCACAAAAATATTTGGCAAATAATGGTCTCGTTCTGGCTCCCCAAAGTCCTCAAATAGCGTGCCTAGGAAATGGGTCTTGCATTCGGATAAAGCTTTTGGAGCATTGGTTTGAGGGCAACAATAATTGACTTGCATAAGTTAGTATCATTTGCTTTGGTTGGTTGTATCATATATATATAATTTTTTTTTTTAGAACAAACAGCATTGAGGGATATTTAAAGATTGTATCTTTTAGTACTCATGTGGCAGAGGGTAGTATCTCCATTCCCATTGCTCCTCATTTTATTATATAGTGAATAAATATATTGTATTGTCCCAGTCAAAAATGTGAAGAATTTTTTAAAATAGTATTTAGCCAGAAGGGAGATGTCTGAGAATTGAGCATATTGTTTTTTTCATTTTTTACTCCTCCTGTCCATTGGCATCAATTTTTATCATGTTTTGATAACTTTGGCCATGCCTGATCTAAAAGTTTCATAATGTATCATTATCACTAGCTAGCATGCATGACAGGCTGATTTATTGAATATTTTTAGGCAGAAGTATGAAGTAGACTTAAGCACATGGCAGTAAACCTGTGCACTGGACAGTAAATTTGTGCATTTGGCACAGTTGAAAATCCAGAAGCACTAAATTCATAAGGTCTCACTTATTTAACTTTTTCATTAATTGTCCATCAAGATTTTTACATGTCAATAAAACTCATCAGTGATTATTATGTGATGATTTATATACCGCCCCAGTCTGACAGTCTGATGATGGTATTCTCTGAATTCAAATTATTGCCTGAAAAGTGTATCTAAAAATATAAGCAAGAATTGAGCATGTTTAATAATTTTCAATTCTTTTACAGGTCAGTCCATCAGAGGTAACCCTTAGCCGTAGGGTGGCATGTACATAGATGCCATAGCATGCCTGAACTATATTCCGGGTGGCATGTGCATATGTACCATGGTGCGCCAATCCCGTTCTCCAGGGCCATGTATAGTCGTGGCACACATGCTAGGGTTGATGACACGAGCCCCTGGCAGCAGGGCCCAGGCCACAACCCACAACCCGGGAATTGTCTGTCGGTTAAAGGAGAGCGTACCGACAATGAAAATTGGGCCTACAGGTTGGTATCACTTTTGTGTTTAGGCTTACTTGATCATCTTTTAACCCCTTGGTGCCGGGTGACGCCGATCGGCGTGTAAACAAAGCGCTCGAAAGCTGGCGTGCAGCCAAACGAGCCGGCGGCGGCCAGTGATTCGGGCTGATGTCCCCTACTCACGTGCTTAAAGTTTTTTTGTACACCCGGCGTCATTGGGTTAATATCACTTATGATTAGTTCTGTTATTTTTATGAGAATAGCACTCTCTCTCTCTCTCTCCTCTTTGTGTGGGGGAGGGGGGTACAGTTTTAGAGAAGCACAGTGGAATGTTCATGTATACACACAACCATGGCATGAGTGATTGTGATGATTTATATACCGCCCCAGTCTGAAAGTCTGATGATGGTACTCTCTGAATAAAGATAATTGCCTGAAATGTGGCTCTACAATAATACATATTTCTACAACAAATTCTCTCTTTTACAGAACACTTGGAAATATAATAAGTCTGGTTTCAAGTAGCCAGATGCAACCATGGTACCAGAGCCATCTCAACTTTTTAGTTCCATTTCTACCCACAAAAATGTTTGCCCAAATCCTGCTAACAAGTTATGCTCTGGCTCCCCAAATTCCTCAAAAAGCAAGCCCAGACCTGGCTATGAATTGGGTCTTGCACTCAGATAATACTAGTGGAGTATTGGTTTGAGGGCAACAGTAATTGACTTGCATAGGTTAGTATCATTTGCTTTGGTTGGTTTAAATAAACCGCATTGCCCAAAGGTAGGTGCCTGAGAATCGAGCATGTACATTTTTCATTATTTTTAACTCCATTGTCATCAATGTTTAGTATGTGATGATCTATATACCGCCCCAGTCTGAATGTCTGATGATGGTATTATATCTGAAAGAATTTCTCTCCAGAAGTGTGTTTCTAAAATGTATCATCTTATTAATTTTTGTTTTTTGCTTTTGCAGGTTAAACCTAGAAGTGAGAGGGAGTGCAATAAGATTAGACTTCCACAGGTTAGTATTTGTTTGAAATTGCTTGGGCATCTCTACAAATAGTAGCATTTGGAAAATTAAGAAAAAATTAAGAAACCTCAAATAGCTCTGCATAAATCTTTTTTTATTACCCATGTGAAGGGTAGACCACATTTAGCATTTCTCTTCATTCCATTTTATTGTAAATTGATAGTGTACTGTCCTGATCTGAAAATCTCCCCACCCACCCCGACAATAGTGCGAATAAAGCCTTCTATTTGTAAATAGTGTTAACCTACAGTTGTCATTTCATGTATATGTGCATCAAAAAGTTAATATGATGATAGATATACCGCCCCAGTCTGAAAGTCTGATGATGGTTCTCTCTGAAAGAAATACTTGCCAATAATGTAGGTTTAAAAGATTCCAATCTTATTTATAGATTTTTTTTTTCTTGCAGATAAAGCCACCAATGTGATAGTGGAACAACAGTGGACTAGAATAGGTCAGTGTCACTTTTATGTTGTTGGGCTACATCACTTTCTTTTGACCAGTTTAATATGATTTAGACAAAGCTATATCATCTGGAAATTTTAAACATTTGGTAGCAGTTTAATAGTTGAATCTCTTCTTACTTGTTTGTATATGTATATGTATGAGTGTGTGTGTGTGTGTGTGTATTATGATTATGTAAATAATTTCCCAGCATGAATGTGATGATATATATACCGCCCCAGTCTGAAAGTCTGATGATGGTATTATCTCTGAAAGAGAGACTTTCCTGAAACTTGTTTAAAATTTTCTAAATAAATAATTACACATTTTTCACTCTTGCAGGTGAACCCATCAGTGCGAGTGGATACTGATCCTGAGAATTGGTAGTTTTGCATGAGGTCAGTATCATTAAATAAATTCAAAATTGTGGTCATTGCACATATACAAGCACAGTTGGCATTAGTAGTTCATTATATGATGATACATATACCGCCCCAGTCTGAAAGTCTGATGATGGTTATCTCTGAAAGAAATACTTACCAAAAATGTGGCTTTGAAATATGTCTTGTTTATACTTGTTTTTCTTACAGATAAAACCTACAAATTTAACTTACTGGAACAGCAGTGGACTTGAGTAGGTCAGTGTCACTTGGTTTGTTGGTAGGCTACATTACTTTCTTTTGGCCAGTTTTATATAATAAAGATAAAGCTATAGCATTTGGTAATTAGAGAAAGCATACATAGAGTTGTATCTCTTATTTGTATGTTTGCACACCCAGTATTAATGTGATGATCTATATACCGCCCCAGTCTGAATGTCTGACGATTGTATTATCTCTGAAAAGAAAACTTGATAGAAATAGGGATCCAAAATGTTGCATGATATTTATATAATTTCATGTTTTTACAGATACAACCTGCAAATGTGATCTGGTACAAGGAGGAGAGATAAGATATCAATTGCTTTATACTGGTATGTCATATTTGTTTGTTACTTATGTTGTAGAGGGTAGGCTACTTTTCATATTCTTCCCATTGTTGTTCATACTACTTGCTTAGTTACCAAACTACAAAATCTGTGTGATGTTGCATTCCATTCCATTCCTAGATTTTTTTTTTATTTTACTTTTATTATTAACAATTTTATAACAAAGTTCATGATAATTAGAAATAAGATTTTTGCAAGGATTCAAGGAATAGGGTAGACAGGTGAGATTGGGTAGGCCAGGAGATTTAATTCTTGCTAGTAGTGTTTCTAGAGCCATCTGTGTGGGGGGGGGGTTGGGGGGGTGACAAGAATTTCAGTGGAAAGTTATACATAATACCAGTGGAATTAGTGATTAGATTTTGATACTGAATATTTAAAAATTGCTGATATTGTGATGATAAATACCGCCCCAGTCTGATAGTCTGATGATGGTAATCTCTGAAGTATATACTTCCATGATTGTGGATCTCGTAAGTGATGAAGTATTTATACATAATTTTTCTCTTTACAGATGTAAATACAGAGCTACATCATCATGGTGTGCATAAAGCTTGAAACATCCTCGATTTGAAGAAAGTGTATTCCAGTTAACTTCAGTAAAAACATCCACATTTGATAACGTTGCTAATAAAGTTAGCCTTTGAAACCTACCTAGTTTTTGTATACCTTTTTTACATATATTTGTTCTTCATCATTCAATGTGGTATTCCTCACAGAAGCTTCATTATTTTTCTTATTATAATAATAAGTCAATTAAGTTATTTTTGAAGCCCTGTTTACGATATTTAGCAGACAATATTACCAAGATATGTCAAAATAATTCAAAGTTAAATAAATTGCCAGTTAAACGGAACTGTAAAAAGGGCCAGCAAACATAAGGTGTGATTTATTTCAACCACAGTAATCCAAATGCAATCAGCAAGCCTTTTGTTACCTCTTGTTACACAACCTAAATTTCTAGAAACAAAGCTATGAAATTATTTGGCATCCCCCCCCCTCCCTTGCCCGTTGTCGTCGTGGGGGCTTAGGAAATGGACATACCCAATGCTGGAGACCTCCAATACCATGGGCCTCAGTCCGCGCCTCAACCAATTTGGATGGTCTCTTTCCCTCCCCCTTTGTTTCTCTCTTTACCAATCCCTTCTATTATTCATTTCCTAAGGTGCGAGAGCCAATGTTGATGTGATGAAAGGCTGACTCTTAGGTCATGGACGGCCTGGGGGAGCCATGGGAATGGCATTCTCCAAATTTAATTTAGCCCTTGCCTCTCAAGGGGACTAAAGGGGTGGACTTTTTCTCTCTACAACCTACTATAGGCTTACCATGGCCAATAATAAAGATTTTATATCCTTGTTAAGGGCAATGAGGCTTGCCCCATCGACTCCCTCCCCCAGTTCCCCGACCCCAGGCTCTCCTGCGGCCACGACTCGGAACACTACTATTATCCCCTCCTCAATGACTGCTATCACAACACCCACCCAGGTCAACATTGTCTCCAGGGCCCCCCAATCCCTAAAGGGCTGGTCACATTAAACTATTCTGTCCAGTGACCCTTTTACTGAGTTGGAGGCTTCCCTAGCTATAAACAGATCCGAGATGAAAATCCCTCCGCAACGGGAAAATGATATGTCAGTATTTCGTCCCTGCCTAGAGCTGAAAGATAATGCCGGAACAAACACTATAATATAATTACTGATAAACTCATTACTTAGAATCTTTTAAAAATGAATATATATCATGATCAACACAAATTAATTATTAAATACAAAGATATTGCATCGAACCGTGTCTCATTAAATGTTTATAGATAATTCTGATAAACGGTTGACCAATGAACATGGACATCAACCCACTCCAACACGCCAAAAACATGCTCTCTTCGGTAGTTATGACTGGTGTTCCACAAGTACATAAGGATTATAATCCCTCTGTAGCTGACCAGACTTCGGCGATTCTATCTGTGGATCCTAGGACAGAATAGACTAGTGTGACCTTCGCTTTAGTGTGTTCCATAGAGGAATTCGGATTGCACCAAAGCGCTTCGCTTAAAACGCGCAGCCTGGAACAGTTACCGCTACAAACGAGGCACCCCTAATCAGCTATCAGCCCATATCTCCTTTACAAGAACAGGAACAATTTACAAGAAAAGAGGAACCGAGGTTCGCAAAGGGAAGAAAAGACATAAGAACTAGTTGCTAGCTACCAAGCGAAAATGACATATTAGTATGTGAAGCTAAAGGTAGGGGCGTAACCCTATGCTCGTCATAATTGTAGGCGATGATGTGTAATGTCCTCCTAACAGGCTAGCATGATTGTGCAAAAGTTGCCAATTATACCAGTTCCAATTGCTCTTTTTAAGGAAAATGCCAAATATTTCAAGCAATAATGTTGGCATTGGGCTAAGCATTGCCACGTTTCCAAACTTTTTGAACATAATTTTAATGTTTGATATTAGATGTCCGTGAAAGTATTTGCGAAATACCATCAGTCAATCACAAGGTTCGTTACAAAAAAGAGCATTACATTCACAAAATTCAAGATACTAAGAATGTATTGCCAGGAAAAATGCGGGCCTTGCACCGTGATCTTAAAATAAGATATAACTTCCATAATCCATGTAACTCATAGGTTGCAGTTATTACTGGTAATTATTCACAGCACCCTTTTCTTCAATAGAAGAACAGGCAATATACGTGGGGAAAATTAAAGTGTTATAAAGGCAAGTACTGTTTCCTTTCTTTATTTGATGCTGAAAATACAGTTCACGTCAAGTTGATATTGCCTAAATTGAGATATTACCAGGGGAAACAAATGAAATCCTGTTAGCTTTAAAGTAAGAACTTTACTAGAACGAAATTCCCGACTCGATCTTACTTTGTGGTACATAGTCTTGGACCGCGTCCACACAAAGGCGGCACGTGGCATATGACAAGTGGCAAGGGACACGATTTAAAACCAAGGTAACGCGTGTCAGGCCATTTTCACTTGGTTCACAAGATGGCATCATCGGAGAATAGTGCTATTATTGTCTCGAGTCCAAAGTAATTTGTGAAATTGTTTAGAACAAGCACAGCTGTGACGAAAGAATGCAGTGCATCGTTTCTCCTGCAAGGCTGCCCGTTATTACCCTCTCATCCAAAGCCTTGCTCCCTGGGCGACCGGAGCAGTGCTTAAATTATCTAGACACTTCAAAACTCTATATATACCATACATCCAAAAGTTTTCCTATTGTATAATGTGTCAATTTACTTAAACATTTTATATCATCTTGGCTAAGAGTAACTTGGGATGTAAAAGCTCCATTTAAATCTGGCTATATTGTCCGAGGTGCTAGAATCGCACGCTGAAAAATAATGACAAGTCGGATCTCGGAGTCGCACGTAGGTCGCACGTGGCAAATGCGACATGCCACGCCACTTCTTTGTGAAAGGTTCCACATATTTTCGGATGTTTATAGTTAAAAGGCCTGCCAGTGCGACGTGCCACCCGGTGTGAAAGCGCCCTTACTGGGTATAAAAATGATAATATAGTAATGGGTAAACAATCAAGAGAAGTCGAACGCTATATAAATAAAAAAAAATGTCTTCTAAAAACAAAAGAAATTGAAACGGGCTATTAACACAGTAAGCTGATTAGAATCGGAGTATTTCAGAGTTCGGGTAAGTTACCATTTTTATTTCTACCCCGAGACTGAATGCACTGTAGTTAAGCGCCGCTAATCTACACGTATTGATGCCAAAGAAGTCGGACCAGTTCACCGGGTCCTTGCAAGGCTGCGGGCTGTCAGGTTCTAAGACTTGAAAGACGTGACAGGCCGGTTCCTCTTGCGTGCCTTCGCCTCCACGATCATCTGGGCCTGGCGCTTGATGAACTTCCTCGTCAGGGTCTCCTCCTCCTCGCCGCTGTCCCCGCCCTCCTCCACCTGCGAGGGAGAGTTTCACGTGGATTGTACATGTGAGGGATGTGCCCAGACGGACGCTGTTTGAGGCACAGATTCATGCTCTCAACTTAACAGTCAATCTCTTCTCATTCTCATTCTCTCATTCCCTCTCTCACTCTCTCACTCTCTCATTCTCTCACTCTCTCATTCTCTCATTCTCTCATTCTCTCACTCTCTCTCTCTCTCACTCGCATTCTCTCATTCCCTCTCTTACTATCTCATTCTCTCACTCTCTCATTCTCTCATTCCCTCTCTCACTCTCTCATTCTCTCACTCTCTCTCTCTCTCTCTCTCTCTCTCTCATTCTCTCTCTCTCTCTCTCTCTCTCTCTCTCTCTCTCTCTCTCTCTCTCTCTCTCTCTCTCTCTCTCTCTCTCTCTCTCTCTCTCTCTCTCTCTCTCTCACTCTCTCATTCTCTCACTCTCTCACTCTCTCATTCTCTCACTCTCTCATTCTCTCACTCTCCCTCTCTCACTCTCTCATTCTCTCATTCACTCTCTCACTCTCTCATTCTCTCATTCACTCTCCCACTCTCTCATTCTCTCACTCTCACTCTCATTTTCTCATTCTCTCATTCTCTCATTCACTCTCTCATTCTCTCACTCTTACTCTCTCATTCTCTCATTCTCTCACTCTCACACTCTCACACTCTCATTCTCTCACTCTCTCACTCTCCCACTCTCCCACTCTCTCACTCTCTCACACGCATGGTATACCAATGCAAATATCCATATAATTTAGGATTATACCAAGGTAATCCTTTTCACTGCATCTTTTCCATCACCACCAACCTCACAACATCCTCGCCACCATCCTCACCATCCTCACGAGCGCACAAACGTGTACCTGTTGCTGAGCTGCCTTGGCGGTGGCGCCGGCG